AAAGTGGAGAACTGTTGCCACGTCCTCTGAACTGAAGAGGAAAAGGTTTATCCGGCTTGTTATCAGTTCAGGTGGTATGCAATCATATTTTAAAACATACATGCATACAATTAATAGATATGCAGACACTGCATTAAATGAGGACTAGATAGTTTCCTACATGCTGGATTATCTTATATAAGGACATATTATGCACACTGGTGCCTTTAACATCTGTAGCAAACGTGAATCCAAATACAGGGGCTTCAGTGAAGAGGACAGATCAGTCACAGTTAAAATTACAACAAATAGCAAAGGAAAAAATTGCTGTACCACAGCTGAGGAAGCCAACCAAGAGCATTCTATCTGCAAAAGCACATAAAACACAACCCTGTGAACCAAACTCTCCAAAAACACCCGAGACTTGAGGCCACAAACAAAACAAACACAAACAGCCAGCCACATGACTAGAAACAGAGAGATTGCATTAAAAGCTTAACCCTAACACAAAACAATATGAAAATAAAGATGAAGACATCTAATGAAAAATGATCATGTCATACATGCATATTTTTAAACCTTTTCCACTTGGGCTATAGCCTATCTCAGCTAACTATGGTTAAGAGACAAGGCACACAGTGGATAGGTCACTATTTCAGAGCAAACACGGCAGACAAAATGTTACAAAATAACCAAGCCGGGTTGCTATCCCAGAGTAAACATGACAACTGAGGGAACATACAGTATCTGTCTGCATGCATGCGTGTCTACATTTGTCCTTCTCACCTGTGTTTCCTCAGGAGCATCTTCTGTTTTTTCACAGTGTTTGTCTTCCCACAGAGAAGTGTGTGTGAGTGATGTGGTAAAGCACACACACATACAGACATACAGTGGCATTATGCACCTGGCTGCTGCATGACAAAAGTTTATCAGAGAGTGAATCTAGTGTAAACCAACAACGCAGGTGCTGTCTATGTGTGCGTATGTGTGACATCACTTCTCCCCATGCACAGCAGCAGTGCTGTTCTGTAGTTAGACAGTATCGGTCTTTAAAACAGCAAAAAGATATTATTTAAATCTAAATTACAATAATTCACTTTATTGAATTTAAAGGCAGAGCAATCTTAAGGTAAAAACTTGGTTTAAGGCTGTAAAGCAGTAAGTAAGCACCCAGTAAATCTGCATGTGCTGGCCTCCTGTGAACGTGTGATATTGGTTTCTGTTAGCCACAACCCACCCTGAGTTCTTGGAGTGAAATATTAAGCAGACACTGGTTTAAATGTCTGCAAGAAAGATAAGCTTCTCCACAGCCAGCCACAGTTGTTTTACTTGCAGCATAACATTAATGGGGCTGGTGCAAATTAGAATAGAATGGCCCTTTATTGTCATTAAACATGTACAATAAAGTTGTGGTTGCTCCACATCAACAGTGCAAAAAATATAAATAGTAAGACGCCAGGAATAAATAACAAACAAGAGGAATATATGCAAAACAAGAGAAAAACACATTAAAGGACAAGTTGCAAAGTGCTTGAATGTATTGCAGAGGACTTGTTCTTTAATATTCTGAAATTCTCCCAGAAT